TTGACATAGCAAATCAATTCAAACCACTGACAAAGTGGCAGACAGGTAGGTAGGCAGGCAGGCAATCAGTTAGATATTTGAAGTTTTTCGATTAAAATTCTATGCAATACGAAGTTGCTGAAACGGGGCGATACCGCGCCGCAAATACCAGAAATACATATGTATATGAATGGGTTTACATGCAAATATACTTACGTATGTATGTAGATATACACTCAAACATATACAAGCTAGCAATGTATTATAAAAGGTGTGAAAATAAAATAAATTGAAATTTTGTTGTTGTTTTTTTTTCAATTTATATTGTGACCCAGTTAGAACCCATTTATTTTTTTGGTGCAACGAAGCGATCGAATGTTTAAAATGCAAGGTTGCTTTGCTTTATCTGAAACAAGAAAAAAATCTACGCTGCATTCAATTAAAACTACGGGTAGCAAAAATTCTTCAAATCAGAATAAGTACAGTCCCATCTTAATAGATATATGTACTACATATCAACACAATATTACGCGAGCTCCAACATAAAGATCAATTACGTTGTTAGTGGCTGTTTCCCTTAATCAATTCACTTATGCAATTTGGGGCTTTCAATGAAAGCAGATAACTTCTCAGCTGCCTTGACTTTTCACGATGCGAAAAAGAAATATGCAAAAACCGCAGAACTTATGTGGCTATGTATCAGTCGGTTGTCGTTCAGCGCCACCTTTAGTACGTCCAAATGAGGTATAGGAAATATAACGAGATTTTTATTGTCCCTTCAATACCAAGACCTATAGCGCGATTTTCTCCAGTTTAGCAAAAAAGCCAAAGCAGGTCCTTGGTCTAATGATGAACGTAGACAGAATAGACTAGCTACTGGCAGCACAGAAAAAATCTTCGCATATTGGGACACATGTCACTATTGGCTACTGGAAACTAAGGCCAAAATCTAAAAATTAAAAGAAAATTTAATTAGAAAAAGAAAATAGTTAAATCAAACAAGAATAAAATAGTACACAAAAATTAAATGGAATTAAAAAATCTAAATAAAATCCAAACCTTAAAAGAAAATTTAATTTAAAATAAACGAAAATATAAACAACTACAGAAAATGAAATATCCAAAAAATTAAACGAAATAAAATATATATTTTTCTTTCTAAACCAATAAAATCTAAAACCAAAAAGAAAATTAAATAAAAAATTTTAAACAATAATTTAAACATAAGTAAATATGTTTTTAAAAATTAAATTAAATTAAAAAATTGTATATTTTTTAAACAATAACATTGTAAAAAATAAACAAAACACGTTTCTAAAAATAAAATTAAATTAAAAAATTCTTTATATTTTTAAAACAATGAAATCTAATAATTAAAAGAAAAAAATATTTAAAAAAATTAGTAAAAAAATCGCTGCCTGAGGTTTGGAACGCGGATCTCTCGAAAGGCGCATTAGTGCTTTGATCACGCGGCCATTGCGCGAACGAAATTATACACAAGTGAAATACTTTATACTACCTTAGCCAGAATTGCTCTGTTGGCAACTGGCGAAAGTATTTCTTCTGGAACCAAACCCTACACTGGTAAACAATTATAGTGTCAAATAAAAAAAGAAACGCATACTTTAAAGTGCAGTCACCCTTAGCTGATCTAAGCCCGTTTGGGATCAATTTGTATAAGTAAAACGCAACCTGATTAAACTCAATATTATTTCTGTTGCACAACTAGAAATATGTGTGGGGCAAGTGACACTGTTCTGTTAAGGCCACATATTGTCCAAGCCCATGTCATCTAACACACAACAAAATCCGTTCACCGTAACAGCGTTACTGGAATCATTTTCGAATAAATACGGTCCCAGAAGCCCAACCTATCCGTTTAGGTGAAAATGCTGATCGCCCATGGTGACATTTTTTTTTTCTAAATCGGCATCATCGCTTGGATCAGTGTTACGCATTGTTCAATTGAGTATCGCTGCAGGACTAAGTTGGCTAAAGACTGTAGTACCAATTGTCTGAAAAAAGATATATAAAACAGAACAAAACACAAGCGACTTCAATTCTTATATAAAAATTTAGGCTTACCGTTAATTTCTTCCTGATCCAACGATCGGATCAAAACCAAATTATTATAGTACCACCTTTGAGGGGTAACGAAAACGGTTCATGGTTCAAAGTTATCCGGTACTATACATAAAAAAAGTAGCTACGAATTTATAATATATATTTTTATATTTTCCATATTCAAATTTTAATTTATGTTGACTGGCAATGCAAACTTTAAATGAAAACATCTTGGCGAAATTACTTGATCTAGAAAAACGATGTACGTATCCTTAATCTACGGTCCAAAAATAAGTTTACTTGTCCCTGCGTTTTTTGTGTAATTTTAGCGTTCCGACAGTGCAATTTAAAAACGTATCAAACCTGGGATCGAAATCAGTTGCAGTGCACTGCGAACAATAAACTCTTGCTTTGTTTGTGCTTCGTCTACTTTTCATTCTCATTTGTTAATTTTTTTCATTCACAATAGACAACAATTGACCGGTTTGGTCAGTTTTGTCATCGAAAATGCCCCTGATCTGCATTAGTTTTGATAATTAACTGTAGGATTTAATCCGGATCAAATGCTGCTAATTCCCGATATAATTCCGAATTAACGAGTTGGTCAGAATCAACGATGCCCTCTGTCTATGCCATTATTCAATTTGCTTTTTTCCACAGGGACTCAAACTACTATTAAATGAAATAAAATTAATGCCTGAAACTATGAAATGAAATTGTATGGATTCCACTAATTAACTAACAAATCACTATGCTAAACGGCAACAACAAATTTCGCAAAAGAAATAAAAACAAAAACTGCCACACAACTTTTTCCATATAAAATAAAAAATTAAAAGGATAAATACAGCTATTTTAATATTGCAATTTTTTTAAAAAGGCGAGTTACTTTTTATTTTTAAATTTCTTTTTATTATGTCTTTCACTAATGACCTAATCCACTATTTCGTTTACCTCGATGCCCTCTGGTCTGGAATCCTACAGATATTCGGGTGTAAGCTCTCCATATCCTTTTAAAAGCTTTTTGCTGGCAAAAGTTGTTGGAAATATGCTTCATTGATTAGAAATTTTAAATGGCTTCCTAAAACCCAACTCTCTGCAATAGACTCCAGTTCCCAACCCGCTAGTCAATATTGAACGAGCAGGTTATGTACATTAGGGCGGTCCTTAAAAATCAAACGAACGATTTTTTCAGTCTCACCGCCTCAATCGGTAATACCACGGTCCCAGATACCGCATGTAAATTTTGTTCCTGATTGGAGACGGTGTGTCGCTCAAGGGGCAAAGACTCCTCTATAGAGACTCAAAAAATTAAAAATACTTTTTTTTTCTTTTAATACGACACGCCTTAACCGTTTCCAGTTGGGACCAAAATTATATGTGACATCATCGGCTATAGTAGCATTGACGTAGAGGTTGGGCTTAGGAAATATAATGTATAAATTTGCTTCCTACTTTTAAGGACCACCCTAATGTACGCATATGTATATTAAAGGCCATATGGAGAGTATCTTGGCTTTATCTTACTCTTCCTCTTCGATTATAGTCTGGAAGCCTTTATCCCAATTGAGACGGGAAGGTATGTGGTGCGTTTTAGCCACATTTCTTCAGCATATAAAACTATGTGCAAACTGTATTTGGCTGATTTCACAGCAAGACTCTCTAATTCCGAGTCTATTGGCGGTCATACTGGATCGACATATCACTTTGGGCTGCTACTTGCCACACAATGCATGAAACAATAGCGCTATTGAGAATATCTGCGGTCTTATTGAATCGCCATAGAATTAGCGAAGGCGCACACAATTTAGAAATTTTTGAGTTTAAATTGGTTTTTAAATTTATAAAAAAAATTCTAAACACACAAATTTAACTTTTACACAAATATCTATTCAAAAGCTAAAGTGTGAGTTTTATGATAGATATTTTTACTACATTGCAAATACAATAGCAGCGCAACAATGTTTACATGCATTAAGAATTCGAAACAGAACAAAAGCCTCACGCGATTACAACACAAAGTGACGCAACAAAGTTGTTTTAACAAGCCCAGCTGCAAAGCTGGCGATGAGTAAACTTCAAGTGGCTTAACAACTCTTTGGCTGGTTGAGTGTAAACTCAAGTGAGAACACTCAAAATCGCCAACGCAGCTGACACAACTCAAATTAAAGTGAGTGAGTTTGAGAGCAAATCGGATTGACTCAAACATTAGTCACTGCTTGAGCGCAAAGTAAATTTCACTAAAACGGCAGCTGAAACGGTTAAAACCCCACAAACTGTGAAATTCCACAAAATTGTTGCTGAGTCGTGCAAGTAGCTTGTATGTAAATTGCAAAATTCCATGCATGAAAAAATATTATAAATTTAAATTTTTATTATGAAATGCGACATGTGCGCAGGTAGTTATTGAGGTGTTGATGTGTGTGTGTGTAACCTGTTGAAGGGTCTTAAATGAAAGAAAATACGTGTACTCGTGTGCGATTAAGTATTTTAAATTATATTTTTTATTTCAAAAAATTTTTAGAAACAATAAAAACTTACATATACTAAGGATGCGTTTTAAAATAAATTAGCATTTAAAAAAATAAATATGTTTTTACAATTAAAATTATTATTCACAACTATTAACAACTTCGTTTCTTAAATCTAAGCGCATTTTTGGTTAAAGAAATTCACAAAATTTCTAACCAAATGCATTGTTTGCTTAAGAAAATTGCACTAGTTTTCACTAAATTATCACAATAATCAATTGAGTGTGGTTGGTAGTGACTACCAACCAGTTTCAGCATTTGGCATTCATATTTCACTTTCACAAAATTGTCATCACTTTAACTAAACGTATTCAAAATCGAGCTCAGGAAAGGTATCTCCTCATCGTCTTTGCTGACGCCACGTTCCTCATCCTCATACTCGTCATCGTAGTCGTGATGTCTGATCTTTTGCGGATATGCATAATNCAAGTATGTAGATATTTGTAACCGCTCTTTTCACGTAGAAAGCAATTAAACTGCAAACAAAAAAGAACAGCGTGAATTATAAATAAATATTGGAGCTAATATGGCTGCGCGGAGCCAATTACTTAAGTAGCTGTGTACGAGTATGTAAACAATTAAAACAAAATTCCAAAATTTTTTCACTGCCACAACTTACAAGCAAAACAAGTTAACTGGTGAGCGCTTCAACGTCGACTGCCTCACCGCTTTGAAAATATATGAAAAAAAGCGTTGTAAAATAGCGTCTAAGCTGCGCTGAGCAGGCAAAACAAGCCAATGTAAGGGGCACTGCGCTGGGCGGGCTTTAAAGCGCACCATTTCTCGCATATTCTCGCCAACAGCTGATTTATGATGAGTCAGTCATTGTCTCAGCTGCTGGTGATCATCCATGCTCTGATCGAAGGTAGCGAGCGTGAGCGCGGAGAAGAGTTGACCGAGATGGGTTGCATAGCTGTAAAAAATAAAAAAAATTAAGACAATAGAAAATTAATATGTAGACGCTACTTGCGCTTAGCTCGTTCGATGAGACATGCGCGCATACTCGCAACCATAAATGAATCAATATCTCAATATGTTGTGCTAATATGTACTAAGTCTATGCAGCGAGAAAATTTTTTAAATACTTTGAGCGCATTTGGTGATGATTGCGCACAGTGGCGCAATTAGTTTATTTTTCTGTGGGTGACTAATAAAAGGTGCGAAATAATATTTGTTGCTAAGCTGAAATTTTTTGTAAGAAAAAAAAAGTTTAAGATTTCATAGAGTATTCAAAAACTTGAGCGATAAAGGAATAACTTGCTAAGATATTTTTCCTTTGATTCATGAACTGAGGAGCTGCTAATTTCTTTTCCGACACATTTTTAGTAAATGGTACCTTTCAATAAATCTTTCTTCTTATTTCTGATGTAACTGAGTTTTCCGATTTCTCGATTATAGTTCCTCTATTTTTTAGCTACTATTTTGTTTCTGGGATTACTTTTTAACGCAGTATATCTCTCGTCACCACTTTTCTTAATTTATTCTCTTACAATTGATCCCAGTGAACTATGTATCTCTCTTTTTCTGTCTCTCTCTCTCTTTATGGTAGTTAGAGAACCTTACGTTCTGTGGCCGTCTGGAAACATCCACCACATCAACTGAGTCTGAGATACGACGCTTTTTCAAAGAAAAAACGCTCAAAACATCATCAAACCAAGGGTTACTTTGCCATCGCCGTTGTTATCGAAAGGTTAGAGAGAGTCTCATTCTTTCAGGCCGAACGAGCGGCTATACAAGAAGCTGCTGACAGTCTACATACATAGGTCATATGACGGTTGCAACAAATGTAATTTATATCTACTCAGACAGCTCAGACAGTCAAATGGCTATTAGCGTACTGCCGCAAACACCTAAATCAGATGGCAGAAAAATTCGCCTTGTTACTGGTATGGGTACCAGGACATTCATTGTAACATACCAGGAAACGTGAAAACAGGGGTACTTTTGGATCACTACCACTGGCCTGGCAGAGATTGGGCATGCCGCTCGCTTCGTACAAGCTCAGGATTAGGGAATTTGAGAGGTGCATGCAACACAGCCGAACTCACGTGGCCTTAGTGGGACATGACAAAATCGGGAGAGCTTCTATACTTGCAAAGGAGAGAAGTATCGTTAGTCATGAGATTACTAGCCGGACACATACTTTTGCGTTGGCACGCTGAGCGGCTAGGAGTGCCCCACAATGAATTCTGCAGGAGCTGCTTTGACGAAAAAGAACCTAAGACTGTTAGGCACTTCCTGTGCGAATGTAGGAGATGACACCAAATTTTGGGCACATGATTTTTAAATGATTTAAGCACAGCGGAAAAGCTCACTATATGGCAGCCGCTCAGAATTACTGACTCCACAAACTGGTTCAAGGAGAAGTAGGGGTTTTTTTCGAGATCTCTGTGGTATGACTGTGGTATGATTGCAGGCCTCAGTGTTTTGGCAAATAGACCAGGAAGCACGTGAACCTTACCAAAAATAGCTTACTCCTGATTGGAAAGTGGAACGAAGGTTTAGTCTTTCTGAAGCAAAGATGTCTTCATATAAAGTCGTACTTAAAAATTACTTTGTCCTCCCTTAGAATTCACGTCGACCCAGACTGTGAACAACGCAAAAACTCTAGGGGTGGACGGAAGTTCAAAGCAAGCCCAACTCGCTTAATGCTTTACCCGAAAAACTTCTCGTGAGTTTACTCAAACGCTAACAGAAGTTGGACCTTCGCAGAACGTATAGCATTAAGTGATAGTTACTGATGGTTACCATTAACCGCATGCGCTTACCCGGAAACTTTCAAGTAAACAAATTTTTTCTCATAGTAAATAATTTTTATCTGGCTAGATCGAGAACAACGTTCGATGAATTCATATCGCCTTCTTTATATAAATAACTGGAAAATTATTTTACAATTTTAATTTCAACCTATCCTAAGGGTGTTTTCAACCACTGTAGGCATTGACACGAATCAAACCAGCTCGAAGCTAGACAATTTTAATTGTTAGTTGCTATTATGGTGCTAACTATCAAATGACTAGCAATAATTAAAAACAAAGTTTTTTGTAAAAGGAAAAGAATTGGCATGTAATGGACAATTAAAAAAATATTAGAATGTAACAGTAAAATTGAAACATTGAAAGAATTAAAAAAATAATACATAAGTTTCTAAAAATTAAATGCAATAAAAAAATTTTTTTCTTAACAACACAATAAAATCCAAAAATTTTATTAATATCTAAGCATTAAATGAATTTATAAAAATACTTTCTTTTGTAAAACCATAAAAACTAAAATTTAAAATAAATTAAAATTTTAAATATATTTTTAAAAACTTAATGAAATTAAAAATATTTTTATATTCTTTTTAGGAGGGACTGAAACAAAACTGAAAACTGAAAGAAAACTAAATAAAAAAAGAAGAAAAATATATGTGATTCTAAAAAAATTTGTATTAATTACACGGAATTAAACAAAAAATAATTTTTAAATAAAAAAAATAAATTAAATCGAAAAATTTAGAAAAAATTAAATGAAAAACATTGATTAAATAAGTAAGGTAAGCTCCTAAGAATTAAGTGAAATTATTATTATAATTAAAATAAATTATAAAACATCGAAATCGCAAAATTAAAAGAATATTGAATTAAAAAAATAAAATACATAAATTTCTAAAAATTAAATTATTAAAAAATAAATTTTTTTGATAACACATTTAAAGTAAAAATTTAAATGGAGTTACACTAAAGACAAACGAATGTAATTAAAAAACAGAAAAAAATTAAATAAGTTTCTAAAAATTAAACTAAAAATTAAAATTAATTAAATTATAACTAAAAAAAACATTACAAATTAAAATAAAAACAATACGCAATTAAAAATTCTTAATTTAAAAAAAATCTGACGTTGTTTAAACACTTGAGCTGGCTGGTTTAAACTAAAAAATTTGCGGGGCTACCTGTTCAATTTGTCTTTGCCTGAAGAAAATGCAGAGATTTCCAACTTTAAATAAAATTTTATTGATGTATAATAGAAATATTATTGTCGAACTCATGCCAGCGAGACAAAAATTGTTCAAACAGCTTAGCAAATGCTGGGTCCCTAAGCAGCAATGTACCTATAACGATGAAAATGTATCGATAGGTATAAAAAAGACAAAATGCCCAACAAACCGACGAAAGTCGCTAGCCATGTTAAAAATTTTCAACATACTCTGCACTTAAAATGCAGACAACGTGCATTGGTGGCGACACCAAATTGCATGGACAAAAATAAATATTGGCTCGACAGAAAGGCAAAACCAAGACACAGCAATGACCAGAACAAAACAAAAAAAAAATACAGAAAAGGAAACACATAAGGTATGCCTGCAGGAAAAAAAGAGTTACAATTGTAACGATAGTGACAATAAGAGTCGCGACAAGAAAGCCACTAAAAAATAATAACAATAAAAATACAAAATACATATATACATACATATTAAACTTTAGGGAAAAGTGAGAAAATTTTTGTAAATCAATATTTTGTATATAAAAACCACCTAGAAAGGAAATGAATAAAGTGAAAGCTGTGCTACGGGAAAATCAGCCGACAGTATCGAAGTTAAAATAGAGTGCACAGACACACACCGAAGAGGCCAGCGACAATGAGGCGAGTAAGTAATTTATGGTGGCAAGCAGCAGACTGTTATGGCGTGAAGTAGTTTGTTCGAAGCGGCAAAGATTTTCAAATCCTGCCAGCCAGGTATGGAAAACTAACTTGAAACCATACATAAAAAAACGACATACTAAAAGCGGAGAAAAAGGAAGGAACGGCTATCACAATAACGTTGCCTCTAGTAGCGGTGCCAACGAAAGCCGTTCATTTGTTTGAAGATAAATAGCAATGGTGGCAGTAATAGAGGAAACAACAACAGTCAATGGCAGCAACCAAATGCTGAAAAAGAAACAACAGGTACCATTACATTTTCTTAACAGCCAGACAGCTTGAGATGAGACTGAAATTGCGGCCAAAAAGTACAAAAACCCAAGACAAAAGAATAAATTAGAGAAAGCACCAGCGAAGCTTTGACCGGAAGTAAATAGGTTGGCTGTGTTTACAAGGCTTTGGGTTAGGAGTTCACTCAGAGGCCACATAGGTCATTGTGATGCTCAGTAGAGGGCACCACACAAGACACATTTAGTATAGAACCGTCTCTCGTTGCCTTAAATGTTCCTTGGCACTCACATACGTATAAACATACGTTCCTATGTAGGATACAGACTAGAGTAATTTCAAATTGATCAGAAACTGTGACCAACTCCCTCCCGCAGACCTACTAATTGAGAAAAAACACATCATCGTTCTCACTGATGCATTGTGCTAAATTACTGGCTCCCTAAAGTGAGGTTGACAGCTGTTCAGAGGTGGCGCTAGACCGGGTCACGCCAACGTCCTTTTTTGCAGGGTTCCCGGAAATAGGAATATTAAAGAGAGCGCGGTGGCCAGTAAGATGGTCAGACAAGCTTCGAAAAAGCAAATAAACTACGGGACAACTTTGAAAGCTTAAGGACTCTTTGACCGAGCCAATGTTTCAAATATTACATATACTAAAAAGTTCTCTCTGAAGAAGCTGTCGAGGTGACCTAAGGGATTAATCGACTCTCCAATTTTATATCGCCAACTCCTAGTTTCCAGATTGGTATCATACCACTTTTCACCTTGCCTGGAAAAGATAACGACAGTGAAAGCATCAGGCTCCT